GCTTGTCGTGTCACCAACCGCAGCGACACCTGAAGAGTCGACGCAGCAGATGCCTGATGCAGCGGACGACACGCCTGTCGAGGACGCAGCAGATGCCAGCCCAGTTCCGGACACCCGGCAGACACGCCCACGTCGGGCTGCAGCTCAGCGAGCGCAGCAGGAGCGACAACAGCTTATCAGTGCCAACAGGTTGTGAGTATGGCAGTGCACCAGCAGTCGCATCTTTCTATTCTAGTGTTGTAATGTAGTTGACTATTGAATAGTCAAGGAGGGAGTGTGCGAGATTTATGAGTGTCAGTTGTCATATTGTCAAGGAGGGAGTGTGCGAGATTTACGAGTGTGATTTTGAGTGTGATTGGACAGGACACTGCGCTGAAATAGAATGAGTGTTGTTGGGATAACATCATTTACGAGTGTGTTGTTACAATACAGTGTTTGTTGTGCGTGTTTGTCGGATACGCCGATATAATCAGTTGCATAGATAATACTTACGTTGTTGCTTGCATTCTCGCTCTCCACAGCAACTCCATTGCGTGCTGCGTTCTATGTATTCCTATTCTGTACACTGACTCTCTCTGACAGGGTTTGCTGTCACCCTGTCTCTGGGCGCAAGCACCCGCTGACAGACCAAACTGATTTGCTTCATCTCCACAATATTTATCTCCTTTCGATTTGAATTTCTGTTTGTTCTGCACTCTGATTTTTCCTTGTTGCACCTGCGCTTTTGTACGCGGAACTTTGCTGTCGCCATCGCGTCGCCATTATCTATATCCATGGTTACGTGGTGGTATGACTCATCGATGCATCATGCATGATCATTCTGCTTTTCTACTCGTACACTTCGATATGCATGCACGCACACTGATGTACACGTAGACTACACGTAAGCCAATGCACGCACGCGAGCACGTTTTGCTGATGACAGCGATTTGGCGATCGTTGTTGTTTTTTGTTTTCTGGTTGATTTTGAGAGTGTGGTTGAAACCAATAAGTAAATACAGTCTTCTAGTTGTCTCCACGAAAAGGCCAGGAAATCGTGCCACAACAGGGGTCTGAAGACCGCGTAGTTTTTAGTTGTGGTCGATAATTTCACAGTGATATTGAAAAATCAAACCGCGTTGGCCTCGGACGGAACCGTAAGATATCAGGTGGCACATTATCAAGTGCGGTTGAGCTGAGTAGGAGAACAAAACAAGCGGCTTGAGGTCAGTCTCAACTGCGAAGCACACAAGCCCACGTGATCCCAAGGGCCTCATTCTCAATCGTAGGATAGGTACGTTCTGTAACCGTCAGTGATCTAGACACATAACTTCATAAGAAACGGGTTTCCACTCACCAGAAGGTTGCTGCTGCGAGAAGACTGCACAGATGCCATAGCCTGATGCGTCTGACGATGCCATGGTGGGGCATATCGGTGAAAAGAGTGCCAAGAGAGGGTCTGTTGACAGGGGAGCCTTTGAGCGGGGACCCCAAATCAAGGCGTTCTCCTTCTTCAGGAGGTGGCTGCAAGATGGTGGCAATCTTGGGAGAGACCTTTCCAAGTTTGTTTACGATTCCAAGAAAACTCCGAACATCAGAGACATTCACACATTGCGGGAAATCAGTCAAACCTTGCACCTTGTCTGGATCAGGGTCAACACCATTTGCGTTGAGGACCTGACCAAGGTACTTCACCGATGTCCCCTTGAAATCCCATTTGCTCGCATTCAGAGTAACCCCATGATCACAGAAGCACTTCATCGCGCCGTCAAGGTATACGTCGTGGTCCTCACCACTCAATGCGAAGATGAGCGCATCATCCATCTGGCATGTGGTTCATGGCACGTCGTTCAGGATCCTTGCCACCCCCTTTTGGAATTGCTCTGGTGCTGAACAAATCCCAAATGGCAAACTGGTGAACCTGAACCTTCCAAATGGTGTAATGGACGTCGTCAACGGCTGTGATTAGTCCACTAGTGGCATCTGGTAGAATCCATAGTTGGCATCTAGCTTTGTGAAATACTTCGCTCCACTGACCTGGGCTAGCGTGTGGTATACACATGGTAGTGGATGGGAGTCACGACGAATAAACTTGTTCAGTTCGGTGAAATCCACGCAGAGACATACAGCACCAGAAGGCTTTGGCTCGACATTTAAGCAGTGCTTGTCTACTGGGACGATTATGCCTTGACACTCCATCTTCTGTAGTTCTTTCGTGACCTCATTTATTAGCGGCAATGGAACATGACAAGGACAAGGTAGGGCAGACGGTTGTGCCTGATTAACTAGGCTTATCTTGTATGGATCCCCAGAGAATCTGCCCAGGGGCTAGAACCTTCCCAGCGTAGAGACAATCGACAGGTTGTTCCACAACTTCTGCAATATCCGGGTTCACCTTCAACAGGTTCAAGCCAATGATGTTGAATCGTCCCAGCAAGGCTTGTCTGACATTACTGACAACATACACGTCTTGTACTGAGCACTCGTATCCGACTAACAAGGGCGTGCTTAGGACACCCTCATCATTAAGCGCCGTGCTACTGGCGCTGGTGAGAGTTGGCGTTCTCTTCATCAACATGCAGTCTTCGAGTGTAATCAGCAACGTGGATGGTATGACCGCTACGTTGGCCCCTGTGTCGATCTTCAACACAGGCGTTCCATTAACGGATCCGGTGGCCATCGATGCCCATCACCGTCGACCGAACCCAAAATATACTTTTTGAGTTCACTGGAGACAGAGTCTATCTCCTCCTGCGTCCATGTTGGCTTCTTGGACTGACACACTCTATCGAAATAACCCTCCTTTCCACAGGAGTCACAAGTGGAGTTTCTCATTCTCTGCACGTCCACAAAACAGACATTTTTCCGGACTCCTCTTCGAGGTCTCATACTTAGACCATAGACCACAGAAGAAGAAAGTACTGGTAGAGATGGAGAGGAAGACTTGCATGTGGAGCCTTAGGGTTAGCAGATGGAAGGTGAGAGTCAGAGTATCAAAGCGTTCGGCAATAAAGAAATACTGGGTGTCCTATAGTCAATGCGGTTCAGTTGATGATGAATTGCGTTTCACCGTTTTATGCCGTAGCCGTAGATTTTGTGATTTCAAAGTATTGGAAGCTATTTTCATTTCATCACACGCGCGTGCGCGCACACACAAACACACACACACACACACACAAACACACACACACACACACACTCACACGCACGCACACACACACACACACACACACACAAAACACACACATACATACACACACCTACAATCACACACACACACACACACACACACACACACACACACACACACACACACACACACAAACACACAAACACGCACGCAAGGGTGTGCACGCACACACGCGCGTGCACGCACACATAAAATCACACACACGCACATATGCACGCATGCGCATGCGCACACACACACAAACCCACGCACACACACACACACACACACACACACACACTGCACACAGACACGTACGTGTACACTCTCATAACTACATTGCATGCACACACAAATGCACACATACACACACACACACACACACACACACTTACACACACAAATGCACGCACACACATAATATGTGCACACAGATACAAACACATGCACACAAATGCGCACACACATAAATACACAGCCCCCCCCCCCCCACACACACACACGCACACACACTCACACGCACATGTACACACACATGCACGCACACACATGTGCGCGTACACAAATATGTGCACATAGACAAAAAACACAGGCACACAAACGCACGCACACATAAATACACAGACCCCCCCCCCCCAACACACACACACTCATGTGCGCACACACGCACACATGCCCGCACACACACACACACACACACACACACACACACACACACACACACACAAGCACACACACACACAGATATTATGTATATGCATACTTATACACGTACACCCTACACTCTACACTCTCTTGCACTGCAATGTTTCTCAAACGTAGTGATTATTTGCACTCTTATACATTTTTGTTTTTACGCTTCACCTACCTGTGTCATTAGTTCACACTAACTTGAAATCTTCGCACTTCACCTGGTTTTTCACACTTAACCTCTACATTCCCCGTTCCCTTACACATTTATATAATTATTGGTATGCATGGCTAGTTATCATTGTTGAGACGTATTTCCTTGATGAAGGTCTCATGAAAATTGGTTGAGAAAATCTAGAACTCCAAAATTAATGTTCTAGTTCTTTTTTGATACGTGCAATGTCCGCCTCGCTAATTCTGCTTATGACCACATAAATGTTCATTCAGAGGCATGCATATACACTATCATCAGAAACCCGCGTGGACCCAGTTACAAGCTCACTCAGCACCAAAACTGCTCACTGTTCTGGAAAGAATAAACACCTACTGGCTAGCAAAGCAATATCGGCAAGAAACTTTGGCTGCCTTAACAAACAATTCTAAGTATGAGTCTCGAAGCTCTTACCGCCTGAATTTCTCAAAATTCTGGACCCCTTCATACTCTGATATAAAAATTAGGAAATTTGTCAGTAACTGCTACTGCCTCTAACAGTTAACTGTAAAGTCAGTAACTGTTACTGACTAGGCTCCCACCCCCCATGCATATACTCACTAGCAAACAACTCTATAATCACAACTGTGGTAAAAGCAGAGGCATGTACAAATGCTACCAAGACTCGCAAGAGATGCCGGCTTGTAACCTTTTACCAACTGACTAAGGATCAACCCTGCATCCTGGGAAAACTTGGGGACAAAGCAGAGGCCATTAGTTCCGGGGAAACATCTTTTCTATTGGCCAGTCCCCTGTCCGGTGTTGATACATGTATTGGGGTTTTCCAGTACTTGCTGGCAAATAACTTGTCAACTGACTAAACTCAATATTCAGAGTAGTCTACATCCGGCTGCCTTACTTAGCAGTGAGTTGTACATCATATTGAAAGTTAGTACATTACTGATTGATAAAGCATAGGGTTATCTGCTCATGTGTGTTACCTGTACACAGGACGGTTACCTTCCTGTTCATCGTGCTGCCTTCTATGGACGTCTGGAAGTCATCAAGTATCTACTAGATCTCCAACCAGACACGATCTCTGTAAAGAACAAGGTAAGTTGAGCAATCTCTACCATTGACTCTCCCTACTGTAGTCAGTTACTCTTACAGCACTCTTGAGGATCACTGTGCTAGCTGTATGTCTATTGGTGGGGGAATATCAGGCTGAAACAACAGCAACCCCAGAGAATATTTGCTCCAAATGTACCTGTGACTATTGGTGACTCTCCTGTCTGGCACTGATACCTGCATAAAGCACCTCCAGTATGCACCCGGCTCACATAAATATTAATCTCAATCAGTTCTGATGTGATCTCATGGACACAATCAGTACCAATTCAACACTCACCAACTGTATTCTTTTTGGTATGAGTAGAGCTACCCATCAAATAAATGATAGAACATTTCTCGGTATTGTATACTTGCGTCTATCATGTGTACCTCAATACACAAGAGGAATATGCCGACATTATTTTGGCCCAAAAAGAATGCAAAAAAACCCTTGCAGACGGAGAACAGGCTTCACAAGTGCTTTCCAGCAGATCTTGAAATTGGCACCTTAGACTCTAAGGATATTATCAAACAGCCCGGTTTCTGGCATCCAATACTATCAGCTAGAAAAGAATTGTTTTTCAGAACACAGTGTGGGCGATATATTTGATTGCAACAAGGAGCGTCTAGCCACTCGCGTCAAGCCCGAGCAACAGAGCTTGGCTTAATGGGCTCCACCATCTGCCACTAATGATAAAATGCGGGCCATGGCACTCCATCCACTCATCAGTCCATACAATGGCCCTCCCTAAATACTAAAGTGGCGTAAATATATTTCTTGGTGTGCGTGTGTTTGTGTGTAGAAGTGTACTTGCATGTGTGCATGTATGTGTGTTTGTGGGTGTTCGTTTGTTTGTGGGTGTACGTGAGTGTGTGTGCGCGCGCGCATGCGTGCGTGTGTGAGTGTGTGTGTGTTGGGGGGGGGGGTAACTCTTTTGTAAGGAATAGTGCTCTTGCAGCTTGCATCAGATCCACTCTGTTTTAGCCACCGACACTAGTAGCAAGCAATGGCAGGAAGTTAACATGATCTACCGGTATACAGCTGAGCCACGGGAAAGCGTACACAGACAAGTGATGGACAAAACTCCATCAAGCTAACATCGCCTCACAAGGGAAGAGTTCTTGGTGTGGGAGTTTGGAGTGGGGGGGGGGGGGCGCAATCTTCCAGTTCATCATTCGGTTTGCACCTCTTATACAGACAGAGCAATTATTCTACGAGACAAGACTCCCAAGTATATCTCAGTGCAGAACATGGTTAGATTGTTTGTGTTTTTTAGAAACACAGCACACCATAATGAACATAACTGCAGAGCACGAGAACACGATATCAAGATTGCCAATGGCTTTGGTCAGAGATGGCAACATTGATTTCAGAGATATGGGGAAGGAATGCTTGATGTTGACCGCATAGGATCCATCCATTCCACGATATGGCAATTGTCGTCAATTCCAGTAGAGTACAGGTACTCGTGATATCAACATATCGGTTAGGTTGATGCTGCTATGGCTGTGTTTAGGATGGGAGAACTCCTCTTGGTGAAGCAGTGTACAGGAACGAAGCAGGTTGTGTACCATACTTGCTGGAAGTCACCTGGACCAAGCTTGCATATGATGAGGTAAGAGATGAGAAAAGTTGTTTGTGTTATGAACAGGTCTACTATTTTTGTTTGAGAAGATATGTTCAGTTCCTGTGAAAACCTTTTGATCTGAAACCACTCTATCACCCCCCCCCCCTCCCCCCCCCTTCTCCTTTGATATGATTGTTGTTCCTGAAATACGTAGCTTTACATACGTTTGGATAACATGGACGATGTCCATGGAATCCGGCTGGAATATAATGAAAGAGTACTTTCTGTAGATTAAGTGCGTAAGAGAAGACTAGCATGCGTTCTTCACTACAGTTGTAGTCTGTTTCCTCACTATCTACTTCAAGGTGTATTGGATGTCATCATCGTGGACAGTGCATCTCTTCTTACTCTTCATTTTAGATAACTTATTTTGTGTATGATGTTAAGTATTGAGCAGTGACAGAAAGGTCTATCATTTCTTACTGTGCACCTGTGCTATATACGGTGTAACAAGTAAAATGGCGGGTGTTTTTCTGTGGTATTTTGGATATGTGATGGTTATTGTGACTAGTGAAATTGAGGACATTGAAGAGTGTATCACTATACCAATATTGGTTCTATGTTTCCAATCCAGGCCAAGGAGATTGTGGAGAAAGCCAGAAGGATAGCTCAAACCGGCGGAGAAACGCAAGAATTGGACTTGTTTAACCCTTTACCGGTCTACCATAAGCGAATCGATACTATAGTATCGGTACGTTTGGCCCTCATTTTTTTGGGGTCTTGTTGCTAGGAGACAGCTAAAATGGCTCTCTACGTGTAGCTGAGGTCCAAGGCTTTCTGACGATGTACAAAACAACCATGCTTACCATACAAATTTTTGCCCTATCGATCGACTGACGTTTGTTGAAATTGGAAAAGACGACCATCCGCCATGCGCGCATTTCGAGAATGCGAGTGCATCTCTTGGGGCCATGTTTGACAAGCATTCTGAGAGCAGTAACATCACCAGTCCAGGCTGGATCTCCCGGGAGGTTTTTGCAGTGTAGTGTGTTGAGAAAAAGAGCTCCGTTGAGTCCTGCTAGTTCAAAAATATATCGTCCACGAATGAAGAAACAAAATTCTCCAAACAGAGAGGAAGCCTTCTTGCTGCCGACACGCCGGCCACAGTCACTGTCACAAGGACTCGTCAGGTGCGATCAGCTAATGCGCCTGGCCGTGAGAATCACGGCATGCGTAAGCTCGCGCCTGAGTACTCATCTGAGCGAGAGTGAATCTGACGCGAGCAGCGCTGAGATGAACAAACCGAAACTGCGATATCGTAGAATGGGAATTGCTGCTGCTGGCGTATCGCCGATGGCAAGGTGTTGGTGTTCAATGGCGGTATTGTAGAGAGCCTACATTTCTTGTAAAGACGTAGCCCTTACCTGATTGTTTATCGTACGACTTCAGCTCCATCACGAACTTGGTATGCCCTTCGTGTTGTGATATTCGTGTATTTCATTCGCAATTGCATTTTCTCTCAACTTGAAGGGCTACCATGGGCCCTATACTTGCCTGGACCTAGTCATATTTGAATTTTCTGGACGCGTTCAGGCATACAGATTTTGAAAATGTATGGTTTACCCCTACCTACATCACATGGTTTTTGAGTTATTGCTGGTTGTGTGTACATGTATTTGCATGACCACCCCTCACAGACATTGAGTTAGACCGGCAAAGGGTTAAGGTGACACATGTCGTTATAATTATAGGATTTCTAACTCTTTGCTGAATATGGATGACAGGAATGAATAATTGGTACGAGTTGGGAGTAATGACCTACGGATGTAACCAGATCAAATAGAAATACAGTTAGAAGCTGTGACAATGCACAAGACTGACATGGTACTGAGACATTATGCATCCTGACACCTAGGTCCAACATATCTCCAAAGCGAAAAGCCGATAACGTTCCAAGTTGGAAAGCTCAGGTTAGGGAAGTCAAATGAGGATGATAGACGCGAAAAGAGGATAATACCAAGTAATAGTTACATCTCACCTGCAAGAAGCGGGGTTGTGGGGGTGCGAGTGGGGGGGGGGGGGGGCTGGGTAGGGGGTGGTGGTGGTAGTTGGGTAGGGGAGATTGTGGGGAGCATTGATCCTTAGACGAGACAGGAGAGAACAGAGGAAGCACCAGATTGCGTTACCTCAACACGCAGAATTTGAGTGGGGGAATGAGATGGAGGATGAGAGAGAAAGTGTGAAAAACAGTGAAAGAGGTAATGAGAGAGAGAAGGAATGAGAGACAGAAAGAAAGAGAGAGGTCTAACCAGAGTTCTTGATGAATTTGCTTAAATAAAATGCTGGGGTGGAGTGAATGATGAATAGAAAGCTACTAAGAGCACTTGTTTGTGTAGTGGTGTGGGCATGTGTGAATTTGGCATTTGTCCCCAGCTCTATTCTATATCATTCATGCCGGAACTACTGCTGCATAGCCCCAAGTCTGAAGACTTGGCAACTTCACGCCTGCACCTGACTCTTGCGCTATGATACGCGTCGCCTATGACACCCCTCATAATTTCCCACCTTGCTCCCCCTTATGTTCTGGCTGCCCGTTTTGGATCCATCAGTTGCCTGATGATCGTAGAAATACGTGAAACTCCGAGTTGTAGCAAAGCTTCCAAACCCTCTCTTGTGTACTAAAAGCACTATCTATGTCCCTGTTGATTGCCATTCGAGTCTTCAGGCAACTGTTGATAGCCATGTATTGCGAGAACCCGCAACTCATTCCGCTACACTCATAACCCCTCTAATTGTGTTTGGTCACATCCTGGAGACACTCGGTTGGAGCTTGTCGCTCACGATCAGCAGCAATGGTAGGCACTGAAATTGGCTATTCAAATGTTCTGGCTAAGAGCAGATGATCCAAGAGTAACAACAGAGGTCACGGTGAAGAGCAGATCAGGATCGCAAGGGACGACAAAGTCAATACACAATGACAAGACATATGGGGTGAATGAGTGTCGAATGTCACCAATTGTTGGAGACCAAAACTGGAGACATAATTATTTCTCTTCTAGTGCTGTCGGTGTTGTAGCGAAAAGAGCAGTCAGATTGGCGATCATTGATTTCTACTGCGGCCACCAACACAGAATGAGGCTACCTAATGTGACAAAGACATTCCTCTAAAATCCCAATGAATTCCTGGACAGACTGTGATGAGTTGTGTGTGATTATGGTGTTTGAAACTATACTAGTGTGATCCCTGAGCCCACTATGCACTCATACATCAATTGCCCTCATAATTGGTTTGAAGTGCTGGTTACATTGAACAACCTGATAGCAACTAGCTAGCTTACTGTCAGATGTAAGATAGTGTCTAGGGTCTAGTGTACATGTATGTCCAGCTATGTGGATATACTGTAATATGTACAGTTGCGCTCAGTGAAATTCGACCCAGAGTCCATATTTGGCAATTTCAACTTGCATGACCCTCGGTAACCTGGAAGTGGCATCAATGCAGCTGGACTTAAATATGGTTAATACTACTTGTATTATCACACACACATGTATTATCAGAACTGATCGAGGGCACCAGCTATTCAATTTTGGTTGAATTTCACTGAGCGACACTGTGGTTCATGACACTGTTCAATTACATGCATTGGGTATTGTTGTTGTGTGCTGCATTTGTATGCTCCAGGCCAGCTTGGTCTGTGCAGAGTTTGGTGTTGAGGGTTACACTGATCCTACTGAATTGATTGCCAACGTGTGTGGAACAGAAGGTTCAGGGAAATCCACCTTCATCGCATCCTTCACAGCTGGTTTTTTCGATAAACTACTGCGTAAGGAGGATCAACCAGACATGAAGGCAAGAGATTTAGCGTCCCGGACAAAGGTGAGTTGAAAGCAATGTTGAATGCACACAGGAGTACATAGGACACAGTGTTTTTGGGATGAAGGTCCAAACTACTAACGCCTCACTAACGAAATTGTTGGTATAGAACTGATGAACCACTATTTTATCCGAATATATACATGCCACATTATCCCTTTATGTATAATATTATTCTCTACACATAGCTATGCTATACTGTTGCTGTAGACCAGTATGATGTTAGTGACCTGGGTGTAATTCATAAAGTGTTCTCTTTCTCAGGGCATATTTTTAACTTTTCCATTTTTTCCATATAGGGAATTGAAGAAACCATGTACAAGCAATCGAAGGTGAAGGTCCATTTTCGCGACTTTGCTGGCCAAGACCATTATTCTGTGTCACACGACCTATTTGCTGTTGCCATGACAGCACCATCTGTTGCCACGATAGTGGTGGACGGCACAGAGTCGGTTGAGGAGATCACAGAACGTGTTGGTGCAACTGCTGCTAGTTATGTGTGTCGACAATCCACATCTGATGATGGTGAGTGGATAACAATGAACTACAGTCGGGGACAAACATATCCGATCTGCAAGTCGAAAGTACCCCATCATTTCACTTCAATTACATCATGCATGGTGGAGAGACCCAACCAGAAAAAAAAGGTTGCAGGGCCCACGTGAGACTTGTTGCTGATTTCGAAAATTAGTTCCCAGAATAATATAACCCAGACAAGTGATGGCATATGCAAGCATATATCAACCAGTCCTATGTCAAGATCATCTGTGATGGGCAGCCCAGGGAAGAAACCCATATAAATTAATAGAAAAGGCTGCTGGTGAGAAGGAGAGGTATGTACAAGATTTTCTTCCCACCTTCTTGCCTCAAGTGTGCATTTACCACCCGGTCAGCCAACTCTTAAAGGGGACGTAAAGCCTGAAATTAAATTTTCACAAGTTTTAGTCTTCGGCGTGCTGAGTCGAATGGTCTTGGTCCGAGGAAGCTGAGACGCTCCCTTCCAAATTGGGTGACTGCGCCCTACTAGATGGGCATTTGTATGCAAAATGTCAATAAAAGCGTCATTTCGTTCTTATAAAATCACGGATGACCGCGATTGGCCCATATGTTGTAGTCTTTTGGACGCTGAGTCGATTGGTTTTGGTACGAAAATGCTGCGATGTAGTATTCGGCCCTTATACCCAATCGAACATGGCTGAACAAGCGGTCACGTGCTCGTGACTAAAGGCTACAACTTACAGCATGGTTGGGCGAGTTTCTGTCGCTCGAGTTGAACCTTTGAACCTTTGAGTTGAACCTTGGTGTGAAAGTTGTCGCCTGCTGACGCAGTCACCCAGTTTCGGTGGAAGTGCGCGAGTTCGATTGGGAATAAAGGAGGAAGGGGGCGTTTCAGCTTCCTCGGACCAAGACCATTCGACTTAGCACCCCGAAGACTACAACTGGTGAAAATAATTTGATTTTTGGCTTAACTTTCCCTTTAACTCAATGAGGCTACATTTTACGTACTCATAATGTGATGAAAATTGTTTTGTTTGATCACCTTGAAAATAAAATAAGAAGTCCATGTTTGTGATTTCATACGCAGTATCTGAACTGGAAGACCGACAGCAACAACCACTGCCACAGCAGCTGCAGTCGCAACCACTATCACAACAGGCAGGCGAGCAGCAGAAGCAACACCAACCACAGCAGCAGCAGAAACTAGACGTTGTGGCTATTGCTACACGTGCAGATCTGCTTACTCCGTACCAACGCGAAGAAGTGGAAAGGGCCATTGTGGAAGGGATGAAATCATGCTCACAGCGTTTGGAGCTCTGCCTGGTGAGAGTAGTCGATGCTAGAAAGTCCAACAGTTCCAGTATGAACGAGCTGAGGAGAGCATTCTTACACTTGGTGCACAAAGTACTGGCGGTAAGATTGACATTTTGATTGCTGTTTTTCTGTTTTTGCTTCAATGCGATGCGCACTAATGATGGTGAAAACTCGTTGCACCTGATATCATACCTGCCAAATATCCCAATTGTTCGGGATTATCCCTCATTTTTTGCATTCATGAACTACTGAGATCCCGAAATTCCTGTCGAAAATCCCAAAACTCACTGTACATGCACAAGTTTCAAGTGCAGATATTGCCCTCGTTATACTTCAAGTGACTCACCTAGTTGTCCTTATTGAGTTATTGATTCTGTACCGCCATAGCCGTGTTTGTAGACAGTAAAACTTGTAATGGTGACCAATCGGACATGGTGACCACTCGACCATGGCAACCACTTTTCATTGTCACGGACGCATTCACATTCAAAACAGCTCGGATAAAAGGTGACACCTTGCCTAACGCGACCAACGACCACCCAGATGCGACCGCATTGCACCCTCCTACAACTACATGTATAATGTACATGTACATGCACACATTGCACTGTGTACCACACATGTTAGATCTACACATCAGCGCAGGAAGTGTAGATGTACATGGTGCATGCACGACACCTGACAGGTCTGAGCCTGAGGTCCCCAGGCACGAGTGGTGATAGTACTTAGTAGCATACATGTAGGTGTGTGCAGTGAGAAGCAATGATCAAAACGATGTATTGCATGTACATGTGTAGTGAATATGTCTTATCTTGGAACAGAACTTTCAACTAAAGATACACAAAGCACTGATTTGTACATATATGGGGTACACTCAATACAACATAAATGATCGACCTTTCAACTCGTTATAAGATAATTGAAAATCTCCAACATAGCTGTTCCTTGGATGCAAAAGATTGTCCATATCTACAAATGCATAAATAGAAATTATAATACGTTCTGTCTTTCTGTTTTATCCTATGTGTTTTGGCCTTGGTTGTGCATGGCCAGTATTATCTTATACTGAGGGTTTGGCACTTCAGGCACCTGGGCAAAGGGTCGTTATAACGAATTTTATGTACTATCGAATTATGTTGTAACCTGACCTGTAAACAGTTGTACAGACCACGTTTCGCTAGGGGATTTCAGACTTGTATTAACTTTACTAACGGGACTAAGGAGCTACCCAGACTTGTTATTACGAGGGAGGACCGTACATAGGAAACAATGGATTTTGCTATTGCAAGGGAATACAATGGACTAACAATATCAACACTTCTTAGTGGGAGAAGAAAATGTCTGAACATCTAGATTTCCCGCACATGCTTTCTTGTCTGCTACTGTTGGTTATGTTATACACACAGAATAACAATTCTCCCGAACCTATTTATATTTGACGTGTCTGTTACGTTGTTCTTGCTGCATGCAGAAGTCTCCAAAGCAACCTCGCTTGCTGCAGAAAGCTCGTGACTACTTGGATGAGGTCAAGGCCTCTCTAAGCAATCCATACTGCACAAGAAAAGAGTTTGTTGCAGCATTCCAGAAGGTCATTTCCCAGAAGGCTGCTTCCGGTAGACAAGAATCTGTTGGAGCGCGTGTTGCAGAGAACATCAGTAGCTATCTTCGGATTCTGACAGCTTACGGATATGTAAGAAACTGTGTTCTAATGAAACCTACCCCATGAAGATTGCTTTGGCTTCAAAGGGGTGTTGAAGGGAACAGGGGCGGGGGGGGAGGGGGTGGGAGAGGGGGTGGGGTGTAAAATGTACTGCAAGTACACTGTAGAACACATACAGAAACACACTGTACACACTGTACACACTGTACACACTGTACACACTGTACACACTGTACACACTGTACACACTGTACACACTGTACACACTGTACACACTGTACACACAGTACACACTGTACACACTGTACACACTGTACACACTGTACACACTGTACACACTGTACACACTGTACACACTGTACACACTGTACACACTGTACACACTGTACACACTGTACACACTGTACACACTGTACACACTGTACACACTGTACACACTGTACACACTGTACACACTGTACACACTGTACACACTGTACACACTGTACACACTGTACACACTGTACACACTGTACACACTGTACACACTGTACACACTGTACACACTGTACACATTGTACACACTGTACACACTGTACACACTGTACACACTGTACACACTGTACACACTGTACACACTGTACACACTGTACACACTGTACACATTGTACACACTGTACACACTGTACACATTGTACACACTGTACACACTGTACACACTGTACACACTGTACACACTGTACACACTGTTTTACGTGGAATTTCTTGGAGTTTCCCAATGTAAAAAAAAAAAAAAAAAAAAAAAAACTGTACACACTGTACACACTGTACACACTGTACACACTGTACACACTGTACACACTGTACACACTGTACACACTGTACACACTGTACACACTGTACACACTGTACACACTGTACACACTGTACACACTGTACACACTGTACACACAGTACACACTGTACACACTGTACACACTGTACACACTGTACACACTGTACACACTGTACACACTGTACACACTGTACACACTGTACACACTGTACACACTGTACACACTGTACACACTGTACACACTGTACACACTGTACACACTACCGTCAATACATGTAGTAAAACAAAGAATACAGAACTAAGGACACACAGGTAGAAGAAGGACGTGGTCAGAGAATATGGACGAGTCCTCCTCTTTCTGCTCACAGCCAGCTTTAAACAATTGAAAAATGCCCTTTTTTTAATCATGTCCATGCAGTGGTGGTAAGGCGACACATGCATTTTTATGTATGAGTGCTGCTGAGGCAAAAAGAAACATTGAAACATTTCCATGTATGAGTGCTGCTGAGGCAAAAAGAAACATTGAAACATTTCCATGCTACAGGTATACTAGTAAATGTAGAAAATAATTGTTTGATATTCACATACTGGTATTGAGTGTGCAGGTGTACCAATATGCAGGTTATGCGATTACATTATCAGTTGAAATGCTTTTTTGCATTACTGGCTCATGCGAAACTTCTGACTCTGTGTGTGTTTGTGTGTGTGTGTGTGTGTGTGTGTGTATGTGTGTGTGTGTGTGTGTATGTGTGGGTGTGCCTTTCTGTGTGTCTGTTTGTTTGTCTGTGTGTATGTGTGTCTGTGTGTATGTCTGTGTGTGTCTTTTTGTTTGCCTGTCTGTCTGCCTGCCTGTCGGTCTGTCGGTCTGCCGTCCGTCCATCCGCCCATCCGTCCGTCCGTCCGTCTGTCCGTTTGTCCGTCCGTTCGTCTGTCCGTCCGCCCGTCCGTCCGTCCGTCCGTCCGCCCGCATGTCTGCATGCCTGCCTGCCTGCCTGCCTGCCTGCCTGTCTGTATGTCTGTCTGTCTGTCTGTTTGCCGGTTGGTCTGTTTGCCTGTCTGTGTATCTGTCATTATGTGTATATGTTGTATGACTTTGGTTTCTGCTAAAGATCATCACATTCCCAGAGCTGGATGATCTGGTGGTTCATCGGCCTCGCTGGCTCCTGCAAGATGTCATCGGATTCATTTACTCTTCGCACGTTTTCCCATCCAAATCTAAAGGCGCGGGTAGAGTATTCAAGATCAGCGAGGACGACTTCATCCGTGCCCTGACTGCCTTTCCTGCAGTGGGTGAAAAAGCTCCACTCTGCGTGCACATGGTCTTGCAGCTTGGCTTGACCATTCGCCATGAGAAAGATCTCCTTGCACTCTCCCTGTTTCCTGAGTGCACACAGCCATTGAAGATGCACACAGCCTTCATGGTTGGCTCTGTCCACACCTGCAATGGTTGCGCACCGTTTTCCTCTGCACTCATTGTGCAATGCCAAGCACGTGTCTACGACTACTCCGCCTGCTTTTTCTCCAGCACTGATCCCATGTTCTTCAAGAACACCATCATTGTCCACCCGTATCCGCACACAACAGCGCTGATTGTGTTTTCGTCCGACCGTCAGCGCTGTTGTATTGCAGTGACGTCCAGTTGCAGTAGGTACCTGCAAGTCGTTCACCACGTCCACTGGTTATTTCAAGCTCTCTTCCTTGACCTACTTCAGAGATACAGTCGTGGTACTTCGGTAGAGCCCACAGTTCTCAGCCTGAGCAGCATGCGTCAGCTTATCCAGCAATCCGCTTCACCAGCTGCCATCTGTTCAGCAGTTGCTTCCCACTCGTCCGAAGACGTCGTCCTTGCCGCGAGCAGTATGCAAAGCAAAGATGTCAAGGACGCCAGCGGTGTGTTCGTTGACTCGGTGCAGGATCTTCATCACGTTCCTGCCACGCACATCACTATGCTTCCTGCCACATGTACTGATCGCCTGGAGAGTCTGCGAGATTCTTCATTCTTGCGCGATCTCCAGTCAAATGTAGACGTGAGTGACACCGAAATCAGCCGGCTCGGTGGCCTCCAATCAGTGTCGTCCGCTGGACCCAGTCGGCTGAATGCCTCGCTGGTGTTGTTGGCATGGTGCCGACAAAGTCATCGTCACACATCGACTGTGCTCTACAGCAGGTTAGCTCAGCACTGCTTTTCTTCGCCATTCGCGAACTTCTACCGAGAGATCGGCAGGATACTTGTCGAGAATGAGAACATGGTAAGCGGAATAAGAATTTTTAAAAGTTTTCAGTGACTATGAATCTCTGCTGTCAATATTCATAAACAATATTACAAAGTTGCTTGAATGAAAACGGTGTGTGTTTTGTTTGACCAGATCAAAATTGAATGTGATGAATTTCTAGCTTGTAATTATCGCTTTATTAAGCTACAGGTTTTGGATTATGTCAGTCATTTAAAACACTGGATTATTTGTTTCACTTGGTATAATGTCTAGGACTACCTTGGCTAGACTGCAGAAGAATTTTACAAGTTTTACAGCCTTGGTATCTGAAGGAACGCTTGTTATGCAAAGCTAAGGTGTTCCTGTCCCACTGTGTGTGCATACATGCATGTGTACGTGTGTGTGTGTGTGTATGTGTATGTGTATGTGTGTGTGTGTCTGTTTGTGTGTATTTGTGTGTGTGTGTGTGTGTGTGTGTGTATGTGTGTATGTGTGTGTGTGTGCGTGTGTGCGTGTGTGCATGTGTGTTCGTGTGTGTTTGCATGCATGTGTGTGTGTGTGTGTATGCGTGCATGCATGCGTGCGTGTTTGTGTGTTCGTGTGTGTGTGCGTGCGTGCGTGTGTGCGTGTGTGCGTGTGTGCGTGCGTGCGTGTGTGTGTGTGCGTGTGTGTGTGTATTTTCATGTAGCTGCTGGAAGCATTCCCGGACATCATCACCTATGAAAAACTGCAGTTGAAGGAGCAAGAACGTTTTCGCTGTCAGGCCGACAGTGAGTTTCATTGTGCATTTCTGCTGTCAAGAATTCCCTAATATAAGCTCTGTGGCGATTGAATCCAGACAATGTCCATCTCTATTATTTTCAAAACCGATTTAGCTCCAAAATCTGATCTTAAACTGGCCTGAAGACTATAATTGTTTGCTATGCTCCACATTTACCCTGAAAAACTACATGAAGTTTATAACCATACTGTAACTGGAAAACCAGTCAATGCATGAACTACACATGTTAGTAGTAGTAGTAGTAGTAGTGTTGAAATAGCTGCGCTTGCTACTGCTGTGCAGACGAGATGGCCCATCCACTACACGTGCCATACCTCGTTGGAATCATTGTAATGTCACGGTTTGCGAGTTGCGCAAACGTTGCGTTTGGCTATTTGGCCAGTGCAGTCTGTTAGAAATCATGGACGCCGTTATCAGAAATCTCGGAGGCAGTTCTCCCATCGAATAGCAGCAGCAAATTGCTTTCTGTTGCAATGGTCAGCATTACTCACTGCCTACCCTCGCCCCGTTGAGGGCATGTCATTGTTGCCGTGTGCACGCAAGCATTCGTACCGATGTATCTGGGACTGCCGTGCTGTGCTTTCTGTCAGGCTCATGTTGAAAAAATGCCTGCCTGCTCCTTTTGGGGCCCGATCAGTGCATTACGGCTTGTGCTTCCATTTGCTCGCAGTCACCACCTGTCTCTGCAAATACTGGTCGACGCTATTTTCTGGAGTCTAGCTTTGTTTGCATTGAGCACCCCATTAACAATTCATTTGCGCGGCGGCCACCCGCGTCAACTCTATGGCTCGCTGGCCGAGCAAACACAGTCTACACAGTCTACACAGTCTACACAGTCTACACAGTCTACACAGTCTACACAGTCTACACAGTCTACACAGTCTACACAGTCTACACAGTCTACACAGTCTACACAGTCTACACAGTCTACACAGTCTACACAGTCTACACAGTCTACACAGTCTACACAGTCTACACAGTCTACACAGTCTACACAGTCTACACAGTCTACACAGTCTACACAGTCTACACAGTCTACACAGTCTACACAGTCTACACAGTCTACACAGTCTACACAGTCTACACAGTCTACACAGTCTACACAGTCTACACAGTCTACACAGTCTACACAGTCTACACAGTCTACACAGTCTACACAGTCTACACAGTCTACACAGTCTACACAGTCTACACAGTCTACACAGTCTACACAGTCTACACAGTCTACACAGTCTACACAGTCTACACAGTCTACACAGTCTACACAGTCTACACAGTCTACACAGTCTACACAGTCTACACAGTCTACACAGTCTACACAGTCTACACAGTCTACACAGTCTACACAGTCTACACAGTCTACACAGTCTACACAGTCTACACAGTCTACACAGTCTACACAGTCTACACAGTCTACACAGTCTACACAGTCTACACAGTCTACACAGTCTACACAGTCTACACAGTCTACACAGTCTACACAGTCTACACAGTCTACACAGTCTACACAGTCTACACAGTCTACACAGTCTACACAGTCTACACAGTCTACACAGTCTACACAGTCTACACAGTCTACACAGTCTACACAGTCTACACAGTCTACACAGTCTACACAGTCTACACAGTCTACACAGTCTACACAGTCTACACAGTCTACACAGTCTACACAGTCTACACAGTCTACACAGTCTACACAGTCTACACAGTCTACACAGTCTACACAGTCTACACAGTCTACACAGTCTACACAGTCTACACAGTCTACACAGTCTACACAGTCTACACAGTCTACACAGTCTACACAGTCTACACAGTCTACACAGTCTACACAGTCTACACAGTCTACACAGTCTACACAGTCTACACAGTCTACACAGTCTACACAGTCTACACAGTCTACACAGTCTACACAGTCTACACAGTCTACACAGTCTACACAGTCTACACAGTCTACACAGTCTACACAGTCTACACAGTCTACACAGTCTACACAGTCTACACAGTCTACACAGTCTACACAGTCTACACAGTCTACACAGTCTACACAGTCTACACAGTCTACACAGTCTACACAGTCTACACAGTCTACACAGTCTACACAGTCTACACAGTCTACACAGTCTACACAGTCTACACAGTCTACACAGTCTACACAGTCTACACAGTCTACACAGTCTACACAGTCTACACAGTCTACACAGTCTACACAGTCTACACAGTCTACACAGTCTACACAGTCTACACAGTCTACACAGTCTACACAGTCTACACAGTCTACACAGTCTACACAGTCTACACAGTCTACACAGTCTACACAGTCTACACAGTCTACACAGTCTACACAGTCTACACAGTCTACACAGTCTACACAGTCTACACAGTCTACACAGTCTACACAGTCTACACAGTCTACACAGTCTACACAGTCTACACAGTCTACACAGTCTACACAGTCTACACAGTCTACACAGTCTACACAGTCTACACAGTCTACACAGTCTACACAGTCTACACAGTCTACACAGTCTACACAGTCTACACAGTCTACACAGTCTACACAGTCTACACAGTCTACACAGTCTACACAGTCTACACAGTCTACACAGTCTACACAGTCTACACAGTCTACACAGTCTACACAGTCTACACAGTCTACACAGTCTACACAGTCTACACAGTCTACACAGTCTACACAGTCTACACAGTCTACACAGTCTACACAGTCTACACAGTCTACACAGTCTACACAGTCTACACAGTCTACACAGTCTACACAGTCTACACAGTCTACACAGTCTACACAGTCTACACAGTCTACACAGTCTACACAGTCTACACAGTCTACACAGTCTACACAGTCTACACAGTCTACACAGTCTACACAGTCTACACAGTCTACACAGTCTACACAGTCTACACAGTCTACACAGTCTACACAGTCTACACAGTCTACACAGTCTACACAGTCTACACAGTCTACACAGTCTACACAGTCTACACAGTCTACACAGTCTACACAGTCTACACAGTCTACACAGTCTACACAGTCTACACAGTCTACACAGTCTACACAGTCTACACAGTCTACACAGTCTACACAGTCTACACAGTCTACACAGTCTACACAGTCTACACAGTCTACACAGTCTACACAGTCTACACAGTCTACACAGTCTACACAGTCTACACAGTCTACACAGTCTACACAGTCTACACAGTCTACACAGTCTACACAGTCTACACAGTCTACACAGTCTACACAGTCTACACAGTCTACACAGTCTACACAGTCTACACAGTCTACACAGTCTACACAGTCTACACAGTCTACACAGTCTACACAGTCTACACAGTCTACACAGTCTACACAGTCTACACAGTCTACACAGTCTACACAGTCTACACAGTCTACACAGTCTACACAGTCTACACAGTCTACACAGTCTACACAGTCTACACAGTCTACACAGTCTACACAGTCTACACAGTCTACACAGTCTACACAGTCTACACAGTCTACACAGTCTACACAGTCTACACAGTCTACACAGTCTACACAGTCTACACAGTCTACACAGTCTACACAGTCTACACAGTCTACACAGTCTACACAGTCTACAGTCTATTGTCAGAATATCAGTGTTCCTGTTCTAGTTCTATGTTTTCAACACGTCCACTGCTTGTCTTCTACACACTACATCTATTGGTTTGTATCTGTTATGTTTCTCTATATGCCTTCTAACAGATGTTCCATTGGCGGACGAGAGGTTCTCAACTGCACCCAAGACATCATTCCTGGGACAGAATCCCTGGTGAGTATAACATTCCTCTCAAGTTGGTTTCATTTCTCATAGTGGTGAATGGGTTGTAGTGGAAATTCCTAGTGGTCTGCACGGGTAGTCGGGTACCCGTGCTACCCGTGAGGACCTCGGGTAGACGGGTACAGAATAGTCCCCAAAAACCCGAAGTCCCAGATTACATCGTGTACAGTGCAGTACAAATTCATGTAAATACTCCGCATGTCTACGCAGTGTGCAAGGGAATGGGGTTCACTGTGGTGTTACCATGGAAACATTACCCGACCGGGTATCCGTGCTACCCGTGGAAAACTACCCGATACCCGAAGAAAATGCTACCCGACTCAGCCCTAGAAATTCCTCTCAAGAACTCCATTCTACTCTGCAGTACCTGCGAAGTGTTCATTGTATTCTGCAATCACGCCTGTTACTATGGCTACTACCCATACATTGGACAGTATGTGTTTATGACATTGGTTTTCATCTCTACTTCTCTATATGTGTGTGTGTGTGTGTGTGTGTGTGCGTGCGTGCGTGTGTGCGTGCGTGTGTGTGTGTGTGTGCGTGTGTGTGCGTGTGCGTGTGTGTGTGTGTGTGTGTGTGTGCATGTGTGCGTGCGCTTGCGTTGGTGCGAGTGAGCCTGCGCATGTGAATGTGTGTGTGTATGATGTTATCGCTATGCGGGTATGCGTGTTTCTGTGTCTATGTATTTGATGTGTTGTTTTGTTTTACAGCATGGGAATGCTACGATCTCACCTCCATGCAATGCATGTTACGGATAAGCTGATCGTGGACTCTGATCACTACACTCTGGTCCAGGGTGAGTCCGTTTTACTTCACAATCTCTGTTACTTTATATTCATGATGATCACTAGCCTAGACAGAACTTCCTACGATTTGCGACATGTTAAAAAATCTCTCTACGACTTTCACACGTGTTATTCTCTGTTTATCTTAACAGAAGCTGAGGTAGCAGCAGAATTGCTCGCATCAACATTAGCACCAGCAGTACCAGCAGCAGCACCAGAAGCAGTACCAGCAGAAGCAGCACCAGCAGCAGCAGCAGAACCAGCACCAGTAGCAGCAGCACCAGCACCAGCAGCAGTTCCAGAAGCAGCACCAACAGCAGCAGCACCAGCAGCACCAGCACCAGCAGCAGCACCAGCAGCAGCACCAGCAGCACTACCACCACCAGCAGCACCAGCACCAGCAGCAGTTACAGAAGCAGCACCACCAGCAGCAGCACCAGCAGCAGCACCAGCACCAGCAGCAGTACCAGAAGCAGCAGCAGCACCAGCAGTACCAGCACCACCAGCACCAGCAGCAGCACCACCAGCACCAACAGCAGCACCAGAAGCAGCAGCACCAGCAGCACCAGCACCAGCAGCACCAGCAGCAGCACCACCAGCAGCACCACCACCAGCAGCAGCAGCAGCATCATCACCGACTGTAGCAGAGAGTAAAGGTATGAGACAGATAGTAATAGTCAACATATTATAGTTATGTTTATTTCTGAGTAGTTTTTGACCACTTTGTGATGGGTGTGATCTACTCCCCTCCCACAGCTTAGTAGTGATGGATCTACACCTTGATTCCAGACGGTGATGGTGTTCATGTGCATGTGAAAAACTCAGTCTCCAGCCAGGTCACATTTCTTTATTAATTTTTATTTCTCACCGCCCTCTTCACATCCACCTCCGTTCTTCTCCTCCACATCCATCTCTGCTTTTCCCAACTCCACTTCCTCTTTTCTGACATCCGCATCCACTCACCCTATTACCATCCTTGAATCGACTATGCACCATGCAAAAACAGATGATGGTGGTAAGAGAATGAGTGGTTATTACCAGCATATTACAGTTTGGACAGTGCCACGTGGGTAGGCATGTATTACCGTATTATCTCTATTACAAGCTCAGTCTCTTGTAGAAGCCCAATCTCTATTATAAGCGCACTCCAAAGAGGGCTTCGAAAAATATACAAGCGCAGTCTCCAATATAAGCGCAAGGCTTATAATGGAGAACTGTATGGATCATGTTCATGTGCAGTGCTGGCAACTGAAATCCGACCCCCTGGGCAGCGCGCCGCGCCGCCAAGGGGGTCGGATTTCAGTTGCCAGCACTGTACATAATGTTTGACTTCACACAGTATCTCATAAAACATGCTGTGCTGAACATCTGTGACCTCCGAGATGAAAAAATGCTCCGACAAGTGGTGAACCAGGAAGCACAAAACTACAGTCATGGTACCTGTTGGGACCCAACGTTGTGCCGGCCCAACGTTGTGCCACTGCCTGGTATAACATAACATTTATAGCCAATCTACATGTACCAGTCTCTAGTACAAGCCCAGTCTCTATTACAAGCCCAGTCTCTAGTACAAGCCCAGTCTCTAGTACAACCCCAGTCTCTAGTAGAAGCCAAGTCTCTTATATAAGCCAAGGGTCCGGACTGGTTTAAAAATATAAGCCCTGGGCTTATAATGGAGATAATGCGGTAACCTCCATTTCTCCCAGTGTGTTTAAAACTAACATTTCTATGCAACTCCCCCAGTGTTTCATTGGAGTCTTTGCCTCATTCTGCTATGGTGTAAGATCACATGACTCCTTCAACTTGTTTACCTTATCCTGACCATGTTATTCCTAGGTATTTCATGACAAAATGCACTTGTAGAGTACTGCTAATGAACTATACGTATTGTGTGCCTCTATTTCTGTTTTCTGTTCACAGCTGATCCATTTGAGGATGAGTCATTCAACACACATATCTTACCAAAGCTGTATAAGATATCTTGTGATGCACTGCGGCAAAGCGTTCAGGCACAAGGACTCCTGAGTGGTTTTGATCCCCTTCCGGAACTAAACCGTATTGAACGATATGAAGGTGTAGAGAGTCATCACCTGAAGTTGATTGGATACATCCGTGCTGGAGAGCGAGATGCATACAGAAAGCTGTGTGCAGCAGTGAGCAAGCTCAACTTGCAAGATCTGCACAACACCATGCTAAGGCTACTGTAGTAGGAAGTCTAGTCATGATGTGGTAAGTTTGTTGTGTGGTTTTGTATTTCTCATACATTCACCTCTACATGTATGTTACAGGACCGGAGCAAGCAGATTTTCATTAGTCTGCCCATACCATAGTATTTGGTAATTTGTGTCTGATATAGCGGGTATACATACATGTTACTACTCACCAGTCAACACACTCTGATGGACAAACAGTTGGTCTACCCATGACCTAACCAACCGGACCGCTTCCGCCACCCATGTGTTAGTGTATGTGTGTGTGTGTGTGTGTGTGTGTGTGTGTGTGTGTGTATGTGTGTGTGTGTGTGTGTGTGTGTGTGTGTGTGTAAATGTTTAGGGGGGGCAAGATCTTGGCTCGTACAGAAGTAGAAAATCAGCAATTCTAATTCATGGCGAAAGCAGCGGTGCTACAAATATAATTATCTCGTACTTGACAGCATGTCTATCTCCACCTGATCATATCTTTCCTTGCCAACTTGGCAAGGGATTGCTGACCTCCACACTGCATTACGTTCTACCAAAACGTCCAATGACTAGCTGGAGCACAAGTTGCTATGGTTTCTGCTGTAGCATCGCTATCATCGCCTCCGGTGGTGCGCGTCAAATGGTCAACAAAATGATGTGTGTATGTGTGTGTGTGTTTGTGGCTGTGTGTGTGTGGGGGGGGGGGGAGGGCGTGGGTGTGTGTGGGGGGGGGGGGGGGAGGGCGTGGGTGTGTGGGAGTCTGGGCGCTCAAATGTGGGAGCCTGTGCGTTTATGTGTGGGTGTGTTTTTGTATGTTCTTGTGTCTGTTTACAACATGTTTGTGTGTGTTTGTTTTGCATAAGTTGGTGTGCGTGTGTGTACATCGTGTGTACGTGTATGTGTGTATCTGTGTATATGTACATGTACATGCATAATGTCTGTTACATTACTGTTCAGAACGTGCAAGACTGCTCTCTCCCAGCACTCCATGTACATCACCAGTCATACTCACACAGCCGACAGAACTCGTTGCCCGTATCCCGGTATGCTTGTTTGTGTCGTTCTTCCCTGCCACTGCTCTGCCCTATCCAACGTGTTCTTTTCTCTCATCTACACATGTATCATAATTATTGTATTCTTGAGTTGCTCGCTCGCCAGTTGTGGATTTGCTCCATGTGTATTCTTTTCAAGGTGACCGTCCTTTAGGATATTTTCTCAAACAGCAGCTCCACCACCTCTGCCCCCCCCCCCCCTCTCCCCATCTTCCCTCCTCTCTCCCAATCTCACACGCGAGCATGTGCACACATACATAATTTGTTCTATTGTTTGCTGTGCTTGCCAAGACTGCTGGTATGTTTCCATCGACTGTGTTTTTTGCTAATGCATGTATATGTACATGTATACATAAATGTTCCTACTCTTGAAAATTCTATTTGGTTTGCTCTAGAGCATCTTTCTTTTGTTCTTATTTTTTGCAGCTACATCTCTACAGAAATGTCCCTAGTCTTTAAAATTCATTATGGCTTGCTCTAAGGCACCTCTCTATTTGCTGTGACAATTGCACAATATTCTTTTCATTTTTCACTTGACTTTCTTCACATTTTTGCTTCCGCTGAGACTTGAGTTGACCCTGTATTGAAATTGGCAGCTAAACATCATCTCCTTTCCTTGTTTTTTTTGCCAGAACAGGTCATGACTTTTGTCACTTATCCACTTTGCGTGCTTATTTGAGAAATAAATAATGTGATGGAAATCACATACACATGCAAGTATAGGCTTGCATTGTTCATAGTCACTCACTCCAGTGTCTGCTCCAGGGCCGAGTCAGCCGGGGCGAAGGACCCGTTTTTTTTTGGGGGGTACTTTGACCAGTTTGAAAAAGAACACCGGGTCACTTGTGACCTGATTGGGAGATGTCCATGTGCATGTTGTGTAGGTAGTTAGTGTGTTCTACTTCAAAGAGGTACACACTGACACATGTATGGTGTGTAGGTAGTCAGTGTGTTCCACTTCAAAGAGGTACACACTGACACATGTATGTTGTGTAGGTAGTCAGTGTTTTCCACTTCAAAGAGGTACACACTGACACATGTATGTTGTGTAGGTAGTCAGTGTTTTCCACTTCAAAGAGGTACACACTGACACATGTATGATGATCAGCATGAACACCATACCTGCTAACCATCCAGATTTGGCAGGGACCGTCCCCATATCGAGAGTGGTAAAAGGTACGAGTACTACCAAAAGTGGATATTTACGCATGCCTCGCAACTACATTAATTTAAATAATTTTATATACATTTTCATAACTATTTCTCTCTCCGAGTACATGTACATGTATGTACAGTCTACTCGCCATAAGTCACGCACCGACCGTGTCTGTCCTGGAACAGAAAATGTGCGACTTATGGCGAGTGTGTGACTTACATCAGATTCTGCAGCACTACGTCATCTACACTGCACACTGTACGTATTGGCAGCTAGCTGTATGCAGAAGCACTGCTGCTAGCTAGTGAACAGAGCATGTTTATCCACTACAGTAAGAGTTAGTAGTTGAGGAGAATATCTCGCCAAAATCATGTGTTGTTGCCACGGTCAAAATGCTACATGTACAGTTGCAAGTCACGTGGTTTGGGTAGTCAATCCCCGACGCAGTAGCTACTACACAATCTTCTAGGTTTCACTCCTAGTAAACCTGTACTTCATCACCTATGGTTATGTTATTCATTTCGAAAGAAAATGATATTCACTTTAGTCGATATTCCTTCCATGCCAGTTCTAGTGGCCATGATTTAGCCGGAGCGGCCAGGTTTGGATGATGGCTTGGAGCCTTGCTCTCTCATTTTTCCCATCTCCCAAACATTGCAAGATTCTATTCTACCGATGCTATATTCTGCCTTTATTTGATTACGCTGACATAGTATGGTGTGGTCTTAGTGCAGCTGCTGTTTCCAAGCTTGAAATTCACCATAGAAAATAATGAAACGGCTATTTGGAAAATCCCTCATGCATAACAGTAAGCATATAGTTATACTCTCTCGTAGCCTCCTCTCCACTTGCTGATATGATAGACGCCAAGCACACCTGTGTGCACTCGTTCAGAAATATATCTTAACAAAATTATGTTGGAAATGGAGTGCGCATTTTCGTGACTGCCACAAATTCTGCGGAAGCAAAAAAGTTACGGACTCCAAAGGGTTAAGCAAATTCCCAGGCACTTCAAGAAATATGATCGGTTCTAGCGAGAGAGAAATACAAGACACCAGGTATCATTACCTTCCCCTCGATTGTCCCTAATAATCAAATCACCTGTCTTTATGGCTTACACATTTTGCCTCAAACTCTCTTACACTATTTGCTGTTCACAGTTTCTTTCAGCTTTTAAAGACGTATTTCAGCTAAAATAGTATTGTGCTAACTGCTGTTGACACATGGTGACTGACACCTACCTTCCTTTTCTTCTTTTTGATAATGCTATTTTCCGTGGTTGGATTCACCCTCCCTTTCTTGTATTGGCTATGTATTATTATGTGCCATGAAGTGGAGACGACCAATAAAAAATAAATGGTGGACGTAGTTATGAGGGTGATGAGTCATATGAAATGTTTGAAAATGTGTCAGAGTCAGGCCCGTTGGATGAAACTGAACAAGGAAATTTGTCAAAATTGTCAGGAGCTTGATTATCCCGCACAGGATTATTTGAGCGGACCTCAGAGCCAATGCAAACCAGGACAAGAGTAACTCAAGGGCAAAAACGTTATACGAAGGTTTTGCATATTAGCCCTGCCGCTAGAGTTACGGAGTTCCCACACTATTTTCTCACCATCTCTACTGTAAAGTAGTTTTGTGAAGTGTGTCACCTTGTACTTGTAAGTTGTAGTGATGCCAAAAAATAGCATAACGTCATAATGCTTGGGAGCGACATCGCCACAGCAAGCAGCAGAAGGAGAAGGCTAAAATCCATCAATCGACTTGATCCGTCTCATGGTACACCAGCATAGAGATAGTGACTGATTAGTGAGCAGATAGACGACACAAGCCTCGATATTCTTTGTTGCCGAGGGACAAAGCTCGTACACATCTTCGTGGCGCATCCCTTCATCTCATCGGGATTTTCCTGTCCTGAGCCTTTCAAGTAAGTTGTTTAGTTGGAAGGTTGTTGGTTTCCGCTTCGTAGATGTATTGAAGCTACATGTACATTAGGTGTCAGGTCATCGAATGTCTCAATATCCTTGTCAGTTTTGTGCCTTGTTGTCGCATTATCTGACTGTATATTATCTCGTTACCTTGGTGGACTGTTAGTCATAACTAGTAACTTATAGGTCCTTTTCGTTTTACAACTAATTGTGCACTCATAACCATGTATAAACAAACTATTAAAATGAAAATTCCAGAACGTTTTCTCGTGACTATCATCAGTGGAACATCGTCACACTATGTAGTAAGAATCACTAAAACAACCAGTTATAGCTAGAAGTAGTGGTTGCGACTTCGGCGATGATTTGTAAGAAAGGGTTTGCTCCCCACACTGGAGCTTGCGCTATTCCGCCGACTTTACTTGACACTTGACTGACTCACGACTGCCATCCAGAGCACACGAGAAGAGAGCACAATATAAGTGGTGCTCTTCAGGCACAGTCTTCCTCAGCCTACTCAAGCTCAACTGATGAGGGGTGAATTCCCCGAAACACTGTATATTGAGCGGGGAGTGGTGCTTTCTTGCAGGTTTGCCGAGTCGAAGGTTCGATGGACTTCTCGTGTGCTCTGGATGGCAGTCGTGAGTCAGTCAAGTGTCAAGTAAAGTCGGCGGAATAGCGCGAGCTCCAGTGTGGGGAGCAAACCCTTTCTTACAAGATATAGCTAGAATAATAATATTATTATGATAAGGAGCGTGAGAATGCAGCACCTCGCGGTTATGCATAACGCACACACAGCTGCCACATTCATCCACTGGCACTGCTACCATTCTCAGATCCACTGCATAGGTTCACACTAAACGCGATATGCATAACCGCGAGCTGCTGCATTCTCACGCTCCTTATTCTGGCTATAAACATGTGACTGGTTGTTTTAGTGATTCTTACTACTCTTTGTGACGATGCTACACTGATAATAGTCACGAGAAAACGTTGGGGAATTTTTCAATTTAACGAGAGAACTTGGAAACTCAGGACCCTACGCTATGCTTTTTTTGCCGAGCTCATCATGCATGTTATTAGAACTGATGGAACTTTCAACTTTCTCTTTGGCCCCAACTTCGTTGCGGTCTTATTGTGTTTAACGTAGACCATGCCGGCTACAATGCCTAACCATACCACAACGAACTGATCGGCTACATCGTTCTATTGCAAAAAATATCCATATGCTCGAATAACATCGAAAAATCGAATTAGAAAATTCATATCGAGTGCTACATCAGTTGAAAGAGCATGAATAGCTGCAAAATCTCTGACTGCACACAGTACAGTGCCGTTACCTGTTGTACCTTGTACTTACCATAGCAAGTGATTTACCTACATGTATCAAATCTGTAATTTATCCCTACATTCCGCTTGGTTACGACCAAATTTCCACAAATTTCCAGCTGTGGTTTGATGTACAAGTACATGTACATGTATAGCACAGCGCTCAGTGTGAATGCTGGTTCTGGTTCACTGAAACTGTAACGGGCCGCAGTCTCTCTCGGAGGCAAATGCAGACGGGTCTCAGTGAACACACTGTTAATAATTATTAAACATTAACTCTGACTCTAACTCTAAACTGACATGAAGAGAATTGTGAACAGCAGCTTTTATAGGGTGAGGAATTGTTAGTGTAAGTAAGCTAGCCTATAGCCAGGGGATACGTAGAGTAGAAGAAGAAAGGTCACAGTAAGATGTGTGGGCCACAGTCATTGCACAAGGAATGCCATTTGATTCTATGCAGAAGAAGGAGCTGAATAACAGTGTGGGCAATGGGCGTAAAGGAGGTACCGGGAAGACAGCCATTAGGAATTCTAAGGAAGTCTCATTAGGATGTGTGTAGATAAATGAAAAGGAGGTCGAAAGTGAAATGTATCAAAAGGGTCTACAGGGTACATGTGCTAGTATTCCTCAGGTCATCCTAGTGTGTGGGAGTAATACATGAACACAGTGAGACTAGTTACTATGCACGTCATGGGTCTGCAAGCATGGTAGTAAGAGTTGCAAGTGCAGGGTGCGGTGCAACACGCGTGACCAATACATTGAAAGACACGCTGCAGCTGTGTAAGTTACTAGCGTGCCAACGCTACACCTTCCTTCTTAAACAGAATCACGTCCTCGTGATTAGTAGCGGTTTGGTGGGCGGATCATTTGGCGGTTCCGGAGATTGTAGGGGTGAACTGGAGGTGGAACTACAGGGGCAGGAGGGAGCGGCTGAACAGGTGGTAGCATTACGGGGTGAATGATTGGAGTGTAAGTAGGTGGAGGTGGAGCAATAGGCGGTAGGCAGACATACCGTTTCAGGCGGTTGATGTGAACAACTTGACGGCGTTTCGTTCGGGAAGCTTCGATGCGGACTGTGAAATTGTCGAGAACAGTGACAACTTGGTGGGGCCCTGTCCATGGAGAATGGAACTTGGGAGACTGGCCAGCAGGAACAACAGGTGAGTGCAG